CATTACAAAAATTGATTAACTTTTCAAACTGAAGTTCAAAAATCTCTCAGCGATGTATTTCCCTGTCTCGTACATTTCAAACAATTAAAAAACGCTTTTGTGTTTATTTGAATATGTTGCTTTCACTTTCATACTTTCATGTACGAGCATTTACAAAAAGTGGGTGGTAAGAGAGCATCACATGAGGAGACCATCATTCTCTTGTCACCCTCTGGTGCCCTCTGTCCGTCTTGCTTGCTTTTCTCAGCACTAAATGGTCAGCAGTGTGTTGATGTTGTCCTCAATACTCAAACAAACGTAATTAACAACAAGGCATCTGGAATTTGTGTGTACGCTTTTGTATACATTTGTATTTTGGTCGATGTTCGTTTCTTAACACTATCCGTACGCCCTGGGATCATTTTGTATCCCCGGGATTGTATTCCTCACATTTTAGAATACTTCTAGTACAAAGATCTCTTTGAAACTTTCAGTATTTCTCAAAAAATCATTTAGACAGACTGCTACACAAAGTGTACGGATCGGATTAACGAGTAAATTTCCTCTTTTTAAAGTGGTGGCACAGAGTTCCCCATGTCGTATGGATATGATAGTAAAACACGACCTACGGATATGGTTTACAAACATCTAGTTAATAATCGTTCTTTCCTCTCCCCCCCCCCCCCTCTCTCTCTCTCCCCCCCCCCCTCTTCTCTCTTCTTTTTTTCAATGGTGTCTGTATAAACATAATGCCTTCTTGGAAAATGTACGAGTCAAACCTGTTTTCCACATACTGCATTTTTTCAAGTTCATTCAACACCGCGGCTGTAGTGTATTCGTCTCAGCCTGAGCAGGCCCTGACCGGCCCGGAACCCATCCACTGTCCAGCATTTACGACATCACCATGTAGTATTAAAACCTCTGTCTGAGCATCAGATTATAACATTAAAACTTTTACCTCACGTGACAACACAACTCACACAATAACATAAAACTATTATCTTACATAATAACACAAGATAAATCATAAAGCGCTTTCATTTTTAGGAATATCTTTATTTTCCCATTGTAGCAATAGACCAGAAATCAAACAAATACAGGGGAGACCATATATAACAGACCCGGTAATAACAGGGATCCGGTAATAACAGGGATTTAAAAAACCCTCGTTTTTTTCCAACTCTTTGTCTCTATTAAATATGTTATCGGCAATAACAGGGCCTCATCGGAGCTCAATCGGTTATAGCAGGGACAAAGGCTCGTTAACAATGTGTGTGTGGGGGGGGGGGGGGGGGAGAGAGGGAGGGAGAGAGAGAGAGAGAGAGAGAGAGAGAGAGAGAGAGAGAGAGAGAGAGAGAGAGAGAGAGAGAGAGAGAGAGAGAGAGAGTAACGCAGTGATGGAGCAAGTCCACTGCTAGCACACGCAGCGTGTGAAGCGAGAGAGGGCTGCAGTGTGCTGGAGACCTCAATCTAACCCGAAACCTAGCTGGATTAGTCCACAAATGCTTACTTTCCTTGCATTTCTGATTTAACATGGATCGGATATAACAGGATATTTTCTCTACTCCCACCATCCCTGTTATATCAGGTTTCCACTGTAACAAGATCATGTCTTATCTTGACAGCGTGCCGCCACAATACTAATTGTACCAGGTATATGTCATACCATATACGGTACTGGTGCTATATGCAACACCATATACGGCACTGGTGCTATATGATACACCATACCATACTGGTGCTATAGCTTGTAACAAAATTGTTGCCGAATGTGTTGGTTCATCTTAAAAAATTGAGGAGGTTTACAATTTGTCCAGCTTTCAGACATGAATACTGTAAAACTTGTATTGAATTAGTAATATAATATAGTATCTAGGAATGACTGTAACCAGAGCACCATTACTCAAATATTATACATAAATGTATTATTTAAGCAAACAATATGCATTATTCATCATAAAACTTTGATTGCCATGGCCATGGCTAAACCAAATTTGGACCACTTATTTTTCAAAATCCTCGCCCCGCACCTGATAGAATACATTTTTTTTATGTTTGAGGAAAGCATAATATGTTTTTGTCTTTTCTGACAAATTTAAACATTATTACTACGGCTTTGGCGACTCTGTGAATTGTCAAAACAGTCGTGAAAATCATGAGTAGAGTTTTTCACAACTGCTGTTTTCTCTAGCTAATCTAGGTAAACAATCACTTTTGTAACACACAAACACATGTGTTCGCCCAATGAACAACATTACCGTACTGTGATCTGTCAGTAATTATCAAGAGTCAGAGGCGTGTACGCTTTTTTTTAACCATTTGATCTGTGTGGTTTTAATATTTTGAATGGTTAACTTGCTGAAGTTCATATTGTGATGAATACGAAGTCTCAGCTAAAACTGAAATTCTTTATTCACAAGAACATTGCTCTGAAAGTATATAACTATTTCACTTGTGAGAAAAATCGCAGCCGTCTAAATCGTTCAATTTCTGATCCATTTAGCAGAACTAAACATTTGCTTGATTTAAGTGACAGGACTTTGAACAGATGGATATCGGAGAAAAATGCAACCGAAGACGTTGAGGTGACAAAGAGAGGCCGACCTGTTAAATTTGTAACCTTTGACAGAGATCCTGTTGGACGTGTTATTGGAAAGATGTTAGGTGATAACCAGTACGTCACACTTAGAACACTTATGTCTTATTTGAAAAGCAATCACGATTTGGATATCAACAAACAGACTTTATGGCCCATTGTGAAGAGTCTAGGTTTCAGTTTCAAGAAGACAAAAACATCCAAAGACGTAATTTGTGAGTCAAAGAATATTGTTGCACTGAGGGGGAAGTACCTACGAAAATTAAAACAGTTTAGAGAAGAAAACGTTGACATTTATTTTCTTGATGAGTCCTACATCAATACTCACCACACGTGCACCAAAGAATGGCAATCTGACAGCCAACATAGAGTTATTCCAACTGGAAAAGGTAAACATCTTATAATTGCGCATATCGGAAGCCATGAGAGAGGACTAGTGAATAATTGTGAACTGGTTTTTTAGTCAAAGTCGAAAGATGAAAATGGCGACTATCACAAAGACATGGATAGTAACGAGTTTGAAAACTAGATTAATAACACTGTGGTGCCTGCATTTGATAAAAAATCATGCCTGGTTATGGACAATGCATCATATCATAATGAAACTAATCCTGATGATAAAGTGCCTACAAAATCTATGAACAAAGGCCCTATAATAGCCTGGCTTGATAAGCATGGGATCGACCATAGTACAGCGAAAACCAAAAAGGATCTCCAAGACATTGTGAACGCCAGCGAACAGAGCCAGATAGAAGTTTTTCGAGTAGACAAGTACCTGGAAGAACATGGACACATACCTCTTAGGCTCCCTCCTTACCACCCTCAGCTTAACCCTATTGAATTAATCTGGGCTGAGATGAAGAAAAAGGTTGCTTTGGCAAATACAACATTTAAACTCAATGACGTTAAGCGACACACAAAGCAGGCCTTATCAAGTATAACCAGAGAATTTTGGCAAAAGTGTGAGGGCCATGTCAAAGCAACAGAGGAAAGATACTGGATAAATGATGGATTGAATTTCCCTAAGCAGCCTAGTGTGGTCATCAACCTGATTGACGATACATCTGATTCTGAATAATTGGTGAGTGTTAAAATATGTTTAAATGTGTCCCGTAGATTTGTCACTACCTCTCTCTAGGTTTGTCTTTCTGTCAGTGTAACCATCAATGTCGCTTCAGATAATGGTTATGAAATTTGTTCAGAACTGGCGACGCCTATGAACATCCGAGAAACTAGCAATTTGTCCAACAATTTGCACGTGATTACTGTAAAACTTGTGTTGAATTAGTTATGATACATCGTAATTAATTAACCAGCCACAATTTCGGAAAATTTATTGCATTTCCCAGTGGATGAGATGGATAGTAAGCTCTTCTCAAAATATGAAGGTGATCGGTTGGGTCGTCTTTGAGATATCGGCAATATTTTTGTTACAGGCTATAGTATGTCACACCATACCACAGAACTGGTGCAATGTCAATTCACACAAGTTGCAATAATGGTACTGGTAGTTTCCCTTGATAACTGTTATAACAAGACTTGCTTATAACTGGAAAAAAACCCACTTGTCCACAGAGGCGAAGAGTCTATATAATCAAATAATCACTGCTTCCCTTCCTAATTTTGAAACATTGTCGGTCAAATTCACCCATAAACGTAAACTTAATTAATTAAATGTAAAAAGACGTTCATAATCAACAATGAACAGTATGCCTAACATTCTAAACGGTTTCATTGCCACAGAAATAGCCTGTTCATCCCTCTTGGGCCATTCCATAAGCAGTCACAAGCTTTGATTAAGTAAGCTTAAAGTGAGACTGGAAGAGTCTACCAACAGAATTGAAGGGAACATGTGCATGGCAGTCAAAACTGTTTCATTGCCACATATACCCTGTTCACCCCTTTCGGGCCACAGTTATAATCAGTCTCAAGCACTGATTAGGTAAGCTAACTATTACACTGGTCGAGTCTACCTCACAGATGTGAGGGGAACTAACTCCTAGTAATCTCTCGACTGCTTCGAGTGCTTGTTTTTTTTCCCTCGACTTTTTACTGCCCTATAATCAGATCGTGACCTCGATTATGACACAGGCTCATGGCCGCGAAAGGCTAGACAAAAAACAGCCAAATGTGAAATTTAAAAAATGATAATTGTCATGTTCTACCAAAGAGTTAGAGAGACTCCCTGGTAGATCTATAACAAATAGATCTAGTACTGACATCTCTGTTTCTTTGCTTTGTGTTTGTGTATTCACATCTAAAGTTAAATTTAATTTTAATTGGAATTGATATTTAATGAGATACTTTCCCGATTATTTTGGCGGTTGAACATACAATAATGAATTCTGGATTTGTTTTCATTCACAACTCTGAGTCGCCGCCTCGAGCAAGGTTCTTGAGTGATATCCCCAGGCCATATCTGGTCCAGTTTCACTTTGATTACCCTGTCAAACAAGTCAGCCTTCGCCCCTGCTTGTCCCGTCTATCCTGTTATATCCGAGCTTGACTGTATAAGTCATGCACACAATATGCTAGTGGTGGTATACGTCGCATAACACCACATTAATGATAGTGTGTGTATATGTCACACCATACCACGGTACTGATGGTATTTCTTGTACTCTTGATGAAGCAGACGGAAGGTGTCCTTAACCCCAGGGGTCAGCGACGCGTTGAGGGCAGCCAGACGGTACTTGTCCGACACACCCATCAGTTTGTACAGGCCACGACACAGCTCCCTCTGGTGGTGTGGGTGGGAGGAGGGGTAGGAAGGGGTGGTTGATGGGGAAAGAGTGTGAAGGAAGCATGGGATAGGGTGTTGTGGGGGAAGGGGAGGTGGATGAGAGGGGGGTGGGATGTGGGAAGAAGCGATGTCGGAAAGGGGGGGGGGGGAGGAGGAAATACAGCATACGGTAAAGTCATTCCAATTAAAAGAACCATGCTAATGCTAGAGTTAGATAAGAGGCAGTTGAAAGCGTTGAATTGGAATCAGACAGGGTAAGAGATCAAGAGGAAGGCTGCTGTGAACCTGGAGAAAAGCTGCAGAGAATGATGTACCGAAAATTGAAAAGACAAGGAATAAAGTCAAGAAACTAATCTAAATAAGGGAAAAGTGTTCAATAGTAATGTGTATGTGAGTGAATGAGAGAGTGTGAGAGAGAGAGAGAGAGGGAGAGGGAGGGAGGGAGAGAGAGAGAGAGAGAGAGAGAGAGAGAGAGAGAGAGAGAGAGAGAGAGAGAGAGAGAGAGAGAGAGAGAGAGAGAGAGAGAGAGAGAGAGAGAGAGAGAGAGAGAGAGAGAGAGAGAGAGAGAGAGAGAGGGGGGCGGACAGACAGACAGACAGACAAACAGAGAGAAAGAAAACAAAAGAAATAAAGAGAGAAGGTCAGAGGGAGAAAGAGAGAGAGCAAGAAAGAGAAAAACAGAAATAGACAGACAGACACAACACTAACCTTGACTTTGGTATGTAGTGCCCCCTTGTGTGTTCCTGTGACGTACTCAGCCACGACGCTGTGAGCCACTTTGGTCAGCTCTGTCCGGAAGTTGGTGGTGGACACCAGTAGAAGCAATCTGCAAATACACACACACAACATGCCCATGAGAAGACAGGAGTGAACATATACACACACACAGGAGAAGCACACGGCAAATATATACATACACACATGAGAAGACATCAGTGAATATACACACACACACAGAAGAAGCACTCTGCAAATATACATACACACATTAGAAGACATGAGTGAATATATACAAAACACAGGAGAAGCAATCTGCAAATACACATACATACACAAGAAGACATTAGTGATACACATACACACTTATAAGAAGCGATCTGCAAATGAGGGGCTGGGATGCAAAACCCGCTACATCCACTTTGAGAAAATCAGCTTTTTTAAATACAGTGGAATCCTGTTATAACAAGAGGGAAGGGACCAAAGCAAAATGTCCGTTATAGCAGGATTCTCGCTATAAAGGATCCAGTAATAAATACAAGGGAAACTGTAAAGTAGGCCTAATCTATGAGTTTGGTGTTCTGTTTTTCCTTTTGCTATCTGCCCTGATGATGATTTTGTTTCAACATGACCTCTAGGTCTCACTTGATCAAAAATTGAATCAGGTTTGTTTCTCTAGCCCTAGATCTAGCGATATGGACTGACAGCTCGGCGTTGGCGATCAGAAAGAAAGGGCTCTGGGCTAACTCGCTCGCTGTGCCCCCCCCCCCACCCTGTGGTGCATTCTGTCTGCTTGCGCACATCACACATTCGCTCCATCCATCACATTGCTGTGACCTCTCCATCCCCGCATCGGAGAAACGAGAGGCATGGCAGGCCTTGATAATATAAACTGGCCTATCACGCGATGCGTTCTGCTTGTCTGCGCATGCCACACCCTCCCTACTCAGTTGCTCCGGCCTTCATTGTTGAAGCACATGGGCTCTCCTGTTCTTTGTTTCGCAAGATCAGCAACAAGTTTCTCAACTGGAGAGGTCTAGCATTATGTATAATTGGCATGTGCACAGCAGCAGCAATATTCCACTATAACCGACTCGCGAGTGTGTCTGATAGCGCTATAGCAGTATTTTGTTTACAAAGGTAAAGAGGAGGAAAAACGGGGATTTAGAATAGTGCCTTTATAACAGACTTCTCGTTTTTTCCAGACTCGTTATAAGTGGACTCCACTGTACTGCCATACGCACAAACATGTGTAAAAAGAAGATTTTTCTGTGGCTTTTATGAAGTATGTGTTGGGTTTTGGCCGAGAACATTTTGTGCATCTGGCAGCCGGTAACAATGTGCACTTATAAGCAACAACAAAAATCTCGATATTTTTCCCAAATGTCGCTAATCGGGTTTTGTATCTCACCCCCTCAAATATACATACACACATGACATCGAGAAGACATCTGTGAAAATACACACACATAGGAGAAGCCATCTGTAAATACCCACACACACAGACACACACAAGAGTAGCAATCTGCAAATACACACACACATACACATATAGACTAGACACACACATACACACACACATGAGAAGCAATCAGCAAATACACACACACAAATTAGAAGCAATCTGCAAATACACACACACACACACACATGAGAAGCAATCTGCAATTACACACACACATAATGACATATAGACACACACACACACACACTCACAGGAGAAGCAATCTGCAAATACATACACACACATGCACACACACACACGCACACATGAGAAGCATCCAGTAAATACACAAATACAGTAGTGGCAATCCATAATCATGCAAACATGATGCTGCTCTCACTGCACTGAGAGCTGCAATAACAAATATACTCTACACACAGTGTACCTACGAAGCCCCAACCTGAACTTTAACAAACCAGCAAAACAAAACAAGACATCAAGACGAATATCTGCCGGCCCTCTGACCGAGAAAAACAAAACAACAAAAAGAGAGAGAAAAGTAAACGGAGAAACTGGATCAAACCCCCCAGGTTAAAAAAAAAAATAATTAGAAAAAACAAAACAGCATATTTTTTGAAAGACAGAAAAGGATCAGCTAGCCGTCTGACTGACAAAAACAATACACAAGAGAGAGAAATGTGTCAATATTGCCTCTTCATCTGACAACCCCC